TCCCTCCCCTCTGTGCTCAGTTTCCTTCATCTTCACCCTTTCATTTCACCCCTTCCTTCCCTCTTTTTCCTCCACACTAACTTGAATTCTCTGCCATCTGTCTCTCCTCAGACATCTTCCCCAGCAGCACTACAGCCCCCTCAGGCCCCCCATCAGCACCTCAGCCCTCCCTGTCAGAGGTCAGCATCCCTCCGTCATTGGGGGTCTGCCCGCTGGGGCCGGTTCCCCTGTCCAAAGACCAGCTCTACCAACAGGCCATGGAGGAGGCAGCATGGATGCACATGCCCCACCCCTCCGACTCCGAGAGGATCAGGTGCAGTGAGATTTGTTTTCTTGACAACCCACAGGGCAACGCCTTCCTACGCCTGGTACATGCACACACAGTCTGGACAGCATGAACACTATGGCTGTCACATTTTCAAAGACTGTGGTTCAAACAAATGAGAACTTGTAATTTTTTTGAATTAATGTGCATGAAACCCATGATACCTAAACTAAGATGTAGGATGGACATGGGCGTGTGTGTCTGAGTACTTCACATTTGTTGTTGTGGTAATGACACTGTATGGCAGCAGCAACAGCCTTTACCTTTAGCCACAGTGTTTCCCTCCTCCACACATTGCTGCTCAGAGGGGTTGGATTCAGCCTTGTCTCTTCAATAAATCCCACCAGTTTTCTTTGGTTTGTGTAGTACTACATTTCATCAGAGTGACGACATTCATTCATATTTCAAACTGAGGCTCTACTTTCTGTCCATGTACACCCACATTTCCAAGGCATTGTGGTACATGCGTGGCTTTCTGGTACAGAACAAGTAACTACAGGCTGTGTCTGTCTGCTTTTTGTGGCTGAGCAGGTAGTGGACAGTGGCTTTGTAGAGCATCTTCTCTGAAAACAGCTGCATGAGAGCGCTGGGAGTGAACCAGAGGTGTAAATAAACCTTGGTAAAGCCCAGGGGAGCTGCAGATTCAGATGTTCATTTGCTGTGGAGTCATAACTGCAAAGAACTCTATTCAGTTTGTGACTTTGTGATTATGGAAATAAAGATGATAGCAGCCTGCAAAATAAACTGGTTATAGTCAGTATCACAGTAAAATCACAGTTCTCAGTGTAAACTGTCTTAGTTCAACCACTCAGTGTTTTTTTTATTACAGTTGAGATGTAAATGCTGTAGCTCATTTGAATATTCTTCACTTTGTATTGCCACATTTTCTGAGTTGTACTTGTCACAACAAGACAAAATGATTACAGCCCGTTCTCTTTATTTTTATTAAAGCCAGAAAGAATGTGGCACTTCAGTATCCATCCATCCATTTTCCAAACTGCTTAGTCCCAAACGGGGTCACGGGGGGCTGGAGCCAATCCCAGCCAGCTGCAGGCGAAAGGCGGGGTACACCCTGGACAGGTCGCCAGCCCATCGCAGGCACTTCAGCATAACACACAATAAAAATCACTTTATAGTATTAACCGTGTATTTTTCAAACACGGCAGTACGCGGTAACATAGCATAGCCACACACACACACACACACACACACACACACACACAAACAAACAAAGCAGCCACATTTAGAGACCAGATTGTGCTGGTGCTGTATCTACAATGCAGTATGCCCACACACACAGCCTCTTGTCCCTCGGTACCCGTCGTGTTTTACAGCCACAGGAGGACGACTACACACACACACACAGATAGAGCCTGCAGGGATTTCTTCTTCGTTGGTGTTTGAATGTGTTGCCCATACAAACACATGACGTGGACGGCTCTGTACCTCCTGCTGCTTAATAACTAAAACTCCCTTCCAGCACACACACACCCTTGTTTTTCCGCTCAGTCACACAGTAATTTCCGCTCTGTCTGATTTGAAATAATCATAATGTATTGGGTGGTGTTAATGAAACAGGAGTGTCATCAAATGTCCTGTTTGTGGGGTGCGATTTTTATTTCTGGTTCACATTAACACACCCCAGTAGAAATAGAACGGACAGTCTGGGTTTGATCTAAAAATACATGCTTTGGATGGAAAATTTCATCTGGGCCAAGCGTGTGACCCTCTGGTGAGTTTTCCAACTTTGTGTGACTTCATTAGCGAAGTGAATCTGTCTGTTGGTAGGGCTGTAGGTTCAGCTGATTGGGCTCAATCCTAATTATGTCTCAGCAGTCATGAACTCCAGCCTTGTAGACCTGTCACCGCAGTTGTTCATAGGGCAGGTCAGTGTTTTTCAGTGTGATGAGGGTCAGAGAGAATATTTGTGATCAGCAAATCATTCTTTAAAGCTGACCGCTTGATTAGGGTGGACACTGTTTCCATATTGATTTATTTGTCATGGTTTATAGTCATGAAATTGTGGATTTTTGGAAAATTGTAAATTGTGATCCAAATGTATTACTGTCACACAAACACTTGTCTTGAGTGAAGCAAAAAATTGTTTATTGAATAAACAGTTTTACATTTCTTCAACATTGTTGATATCGAAACAACCTGGTTAAACATCGATGTGATGTTTTTTTTTATTCCCATGTTTTCCAGCCTCCACTCCAGAATCCAGCAAACAATGATCTCACTGATCGCTGATACACCTAGTGAAAACTCACATTTAGCTGCAGCTTGGCACACTTGAAACTGTTTGGTGAATTACGAGCTGCTTCCTTCACTGACAGCCTCCCTGTGTGTCGATATTCCAGGCAGTACCTGATGAGGAACCCGTGCCCCACACTGCCTTTCCACCACCAGGTGCCACCGCCCCACTCTGACACTGTGGAGTTTTACCAGAGGCTTTCGACAGAAACCCTCTTCTTCATCTTTTACTACCTGGAGGTGGGTTGTATGATAACTGTCATGATGATGATGATAACAGAACACAACCAGCTGCTTTAAAGGATAAGGCTAGTGATTTTCTCTGTATTATTTACAACAGCAACAATGAATGTGGTGTACTCACTGAACACAACCTGGTTTAGCTTAATGCAAGAGGGAATAGTTAATTCGGGCCCCTGCTCTGGGCATTTACAGGTGTTCTGGGACTTGTAGGAAACTACCACCTGAAGTGAATCACTACATGAAACTGCAGGGGTGTGAATATTACCCAGCATATAAAATGGAGGATTCCTTTCATTTACATCTGCACCAGAACCAAAACTGTTTCAGCTGATTAGATTCTTCTCTTTTCTCTTTCCCCCTCTTTTTTCTCTTTCACTCTTCTGTCCTCTACTTTGCTCTCCCTCCTCTGCAGGGCACGAAGGCCCAGTATCTGGCAGCCAAAGCCTTGAAGAAGCAGTCGTGGAGGTTCCACACAAAGTACATGATGTGGTTTCAGAGGCACGAAGAACCCAAGACCATCACTGATGAGTTTGAGCAGGTCTGTGAGGTCACTGAAGACAAACTGTGTTTCGACATATTTATCCTATTTATTAAAACTCGCTCACACTTGAACTGTACTGCTGTGTTAATCTAAGAAACAGAACACTCTATTTTGATTGATTTATTAATTATATTGATCTGGCACAAGGTTCAAAATGAGATATTGTTTTGCATTCATTGAGAGTAAAAACCAAAACAGGTAAAATATATGCATGAATATAAACCTTTTAAACCCTGGGTACAACAGAATAAACAGAACAGGGCTGTCACTTTTTATTCGACAACAGGCCGTTTGATGGAATTTGCCTTGTTGTCCAACAGGGCACTTTCTTAAAATTCACTATCAGCTCGAGCAGTTGCAGTCCTGTTAACCTCTTAGTAAAGTAAGCTGGTAGCATTATGTGTGTAAGGACAAAGAGCAGGATAATAGTGAGCAAAGTTGTGTTGACCAGACAGTAATGACACCAGAGCGGTGTCACGGTAAGCGGTTTGCCAACTCTGCAAAAAAAAGCAGATGCCTACTGAAGTACATCAGCAGGACTCACCTGCAGTCTCTCCGTTCTACAGCCTGGGCTGACTGGCCTACTCCTGCTGCGTACTTGCCCTGACAGCTCTAAAACAGAATAATTCATGCTCATAAAATGTTCAAAAGTTTGTGTTTAATAACATCAGCTTGTTCAGCTGCTCTCACCAGTTTTGTCCTGGAGTTGTGAAACTAAAACTATAAAAACTCAAAAGTCAAAGAACTGACAGGTCGAGCTGAAACACCCATTTCGCCGGCTGAGATGAAATGACCAAACTAGATATACCATTATATCTTGTTAGGACTTCCCCAGAGACCTTCTGATTAAAAAGAGAACGGATTAACAATACATTTTTAGAAAGCACATTAACAGGCCCCCTGATAGCTGAGTGGTTTTGTTGGCATGCTGTGTACGGTTTGAATCTGGCCACCGACATTTGTCACCTCTCTGCGATCAACTGAACAATAAAGGCCAAAAACAGACCTTATTTTTGAGGACAGTTAATGTGATATCTGTTGAAGATTAGTAAAATGATGATTCTCCACTGTGAAAATATAAATGAAACGCTGCAGAGTAGCAGGTTCATTTCAACCAAGTATCAAAAGAAAAACCAGTGGCTCCCGAGAATTTCCTGCTGCTCCTGGTTGTACAGCAGTTTAACCACGTGGTGGCCATTAACTGTGACTGTCCTGCCCTCACAATGTGCCAACACCGGCTCCATAAAGATCTGTACTGAGCAGGAGGAACAGTCTAGCAGTCAGCTGACTTGTCATTTGTTTTATTCTTTTTTTTTAAGGGAACATACATTTACTTTGACTATGAGAAATGGGGCCAGAGGAAGAAGGAAGGCTTCACATTTGAGTACCGGTACCTAGAAGACCGAGACCTCCAGTGATGTGCAGAGAGGAACACAGGCAGGCGGACGGACTGACGGCTGAGATAGAAAGTGAGAGACAAATGGATGGATGGACAGACAAACAAATGAAGAAGGGTGGTCCACCTGCTGACATTCCTGGATCTGACTTCAGCTTCTGGGGAAAGGAGACGTTTGGGCCGGAGGGGGCGAGAGGGTTTGCAGAGACACATTTGAAACCCCTCCGTCCTCTGACCCCGCCTCAACATCTTCACCCCAGCAGTGATCCTCTCTCCTCCTCTGCACCACCACCTCCGTCACCAGCCCTCTTATCTCCATCTCTTCCAGAAGTGGAACATCTTCAAACATCAAGACGACTTTGGTTTGTTTCAGCAGACGAAACACAGACATCACGCCTGGTGTCCAGACTATCATGTGCTCTTCCCCTTTGTTTTTAATCCTCCTGGCTTTAACCTTTCCTTATATTAGCCTCCTAAGAACCAAAGATTGCTGGTTAAGCATACAGTCCAGGCTCTGTCCGTGTTCTGACCAGACCGATGAAAACCTCAGCAGGCAGCAAGTGTAGAAGCTCAGAAACACAACCGTGAATCTGTGCAGCAACGTTGCTTAGGATTTTGGCATGTAGTGTCGCAGCAGCAAGGCAGGAGTCAGTTGTAATAATGTGACCTCGGTTCTGTAAATCACATGACAATGAAAGAGGAGGTGGTCAGAGGGCAGCAGTGTGCTCTTTTCCACCACAGGAACTTAACAAGCCATAACCTGATCCTGAAGGTGTCGGGTCTGCCTTTGACAAACCGGTGCAGTTTGTACACTCAGTTGCCATTTATTAGATACGACTAGTTACAGTTATCCCAGTCTCATACAACAGTCCTGCAACAAATTCTCCTTCATGAAAGTGATAATGTCCAGTTTTTGTTTTAGCGTAAATTCAGCTGTATGAACATGTTGGAGGCTGAACTGTGCTGCGATACACAGATATAGATGAAGTATAAATCAAACGATAGGAGCACATGTCAGTGTAACGTAAGACATTTAAACTTAGCTGAAACTATTAGTTGATCAACAGAAAAATATGCTTTGGCTTCATAATCAATTCAACTTTTTTTTTAAACAAAACCTGTGAATCTGTGTCAGATTCCGGTTTCTCAAATGAGAGGATTTCTGGAGTTTTTGGACTTTGGTTGAACAAAACAAGGAACATCTGAAGACACCAGGAGCCTTTTTTATTTTTTTTCCTAAACAATACTTTTATTAAAAGTTTTTAAAAAGTGTAACAAGGTTGTCAAGGTTCATGGGGTGACTAGAACAGATGGTCATACAGGCCCGGGTGACTGTGGTTCTTGTAGAGGTTGCACATCCTCAGATCGACACCCAGGACTCTCCGCCCACAGCCTGCCTCTATTTTAATTGTCTCGCTCTTTCATTTTTGACGTTTCACTGACAGAACGATCTGTAGATTAATTGATAAGGAAATTAATCATTAGTTGCAGCCATACAGTTCAACAGCAGCACAAACTTAGAACTTGATCATAGAGTTGAATCAACACCTCTGTGAAAGTCTTAACACAAAGTGAGCGTTATCACCTTCATGAAGAAGGGTTTACAGCAGGACTGTTGGATCAGGCTGAGTGGGTTTACATCAGTGAAACACTGAAGGCACTGGACAAATGCCACTTTGCTCCTTGGTGCTACACACAGTGGAAATTGTGTTTGTTTATTTATATGCAGCTTCTGTAAAGCATCAGTGTTATTGAGCTAATAGGAGACAGAAACCCCACCTGCAGCCAGAGGAGAGACCAGCTCCAGACCAGCGCTCCAGAGCCAGGTGCACCAGTAAAATCTAGTGGAATCCAATACGACTGTTCTGCATTGATGATGCAAACAGTGCTCAGCTTGTTTTTTCTATGATACGTTTTAGCACTGAGGGCTTAGTCAGTGGTGGTGTTTGGAGGTGATGCTAATGTTGTGTAAGTAAGTAGGCAGGACAGAAAAATCAGAAACACCTCTCAGTTTAATGTGATCCAACGCAACACCACCTTTAACAAAATAAAAAACATGAGTTTTATAAAAATGATTTTATGGCAGCAAAACACATTGGATACTTTGTGTAAATCAGAGCATTTTGAAGCTACCTTGCAGTGCTTCGTTAAACCCCTTTCCTGCGTTGTTAAGTGCCATGTTGGGAAACTGCTGTTGCATTTCTCCTCCCCCACAGTGCCTGCACTTGGATCCATTGCTGAGATTTATGCAGTTTGAGCAGAATGGGAACAGATGCACAGCCTGTAGGGTTTGGGTTGCCAAGTTCCTGTAGTGGAAAAGGCACAAGAGTTTCATCTATAATCACCCAAAAACAGAATGTAGTTTGGTATGAGATGGCATTATAGACCTCCAGTCTGATGTCCCTGTCGGCTGAGTCGTGTTTTGGTAGGAAACAGGAGCCAGATAAACAACCTGTCCTGCCCAGCTGCTGCTGCATAAAAGGCTGGTTGAGCTTGTTTGTCTCTACTCTGCTGAGCCTTAAAAGAAAATCCTTCGACCTATAAACCTGCCCCTGAGGTGCAGTGGACTAGCCTGATTGCCACAGACCGAACACCAGCCCGGCCATATGTGGAAAAGAAACAACCGCCTGCTAAATGTGTGAAGTGTTGGTCGTGGGTGGCGTTGCAGGCCTCTCTTGCACTTAACTGTCTTTCAGAGGTCCTGTTGGTGTGTTCATGTGGAGTGGTAAAAGTGGCTGGGGGGTTTTTTATCTGCCAGCCACTGTGCTCCAAGAATACCCTGCCCTGCCCACTCCCATTGAGCCACAGTGGAGGAGTGTGACAACGCAGCCAGTGAGGTGTTGGTAGTAACTGTCTTTACCTGGTGGGCAGTGTTATGTCACCGCTGTTTCAGAGGAAACTAGAGTACATGTCAGAGCGTCTGTGGCTCAGTTAAAGAGTCAGTTCATCCAAATCACATAAAATATTGGTTTATGTACTATTTAGTCAGACTTAGGGTTTGGTTCAGTTTGCCCACATCTTGAAGTAGTTTTGAGATTTCTTCCTCCACCCCAACACAATGGAGGTAAAAGCATCACAGCAGAAACATTAAACAGCAACATCTCTCTACAGAAACTCTGCACACCCCACAGGCCTCACTGTTCACAGTGATGTCTGCAGAGAACCCAGAGACGGTGCTACAGATGTTAAACTTATTCTGCAGACTGCTTTCTGTTCAACACCACTGTATTCAGGTGGCATCAGCAATGTTAGGACATCACCAGCTGCTAGTTAACTACCGGCCACCCTGACCTGTATGGACGGTGCCTGCAAAATTACTGAAAGAAACAACAAGTAAATGCATCTTAATCAACTCTGAACAGAAAACAAGAAGGAAACAGCAGCCAAACCAAATGTCTGCGCTGCTTGTCTGCCAACCAGATCACTGATTGTTTGGGCGTTTCATCAGGAGCCGTGGCCGCCCTCAAACTGAACATCAAATCATACCTGCTGTGGCTGAAATAAGCTTTGTTAAAGATGCCTCATTTCCATAATTGCATATTTAAATTTTTGGAAAATACACAAGTTCAAGTTAGATGGGGTGATTGATGACTATGCAGCCAGTTAGCTTAGATTAGCATAAAGGCCAGAAACAGGGAGAAACTGCTCCAGAGGGAACAAAATGAGCCTTCCAGCACCTCTAGAGCTCCCTGAGTAGCATGTTGTCTCATTTAATTTGTACAAAAACCAAGAATAAAGAAGGAGTTTCTAGTTTTACTGGGGCCTTTGAGCCAGTCCATTGTTTTGCTGGGCGCAGTAACGTCCTGAAGTCTCCGCTGTTTCCCTGGCACTGCTCCCAGCCAGTAAACTAGCCCCACACATAGCTCCCTGTAAAACAACACGTCCCCCCCATGCAAATAAAAAATCACTGTTTGCAGTCTTTATGCTAAGCTAACTACCACTGAAAGAGAATGTGATGTTAGGCCTTAAACAGGAGATGAAAGCCACTGTTTACACCTAATTTCCAGAAAAATGTCTTCTATTCAGGCTGGTGTGTTCATCGTAGAAATGACATCTCTAGAAAAGAATGAAGTTTAGCTGCTCCCTCAGTGTCTCACAGTAAAATAAAGTGGGTATTTTTTGTAATGTGAGTGAAATGATCCTTTAGCACATGCAGCTCCAGCAGTGATGAGTGTGAACATCATGGGTGTCGGATGCTACGAGCAGCTGGATGGGCAGTTTGTTAGCCTCCCTCCCTTCTCTCTCTCCTCCTCCTCATCTCTATGTGCTGAAGAGCACAAACTGAGCAACACCAGCACGACTGCCCACATCCTCTGTCCTCCATCGCTCGGCTCTGTGTTCATAAAGTCCTGCTTCTCGCCTTTTCCACACCACAGTGTATTTTGTTTCCTTAGATAGTTTTGACGCTTCAGTTTTCTCACCCCCGCTCCAAAAAATGCCAGGTAGATGTTTCCTTTATTTCTCAGGAAGTATTTGATAGATCATTTTATGAGGAAATCTATCCGCTAGCACTTCCCATCAGCACAGCACAACGAAATAATCTTCCAGGCAGATTCTTACCAAAATTCACATTTTGTATCCATCATGTGGGCCGAGTGTTTGCGCCTGTGTTCACCTGCCAGTGCCCCTTTTTATTTTACAAAAGGCTTTTTTATTTTTAACAAATGTTATGTTCCAATGTTTGGAGCTGCACCTGGAAGAGAGACCATCTTTATATTTTGTATTTGTTGGATTATTTGTGGTAGTTTGAATCTTTTGCTCAGAGATGGGGAAGGCGTTTTAAAACCCAGACAAGAACAAGGTCCCCTGTTCTTTTTAAAGAGCCTCTCACCAGGAGTGTGCGGTGTTTTATAGCCAAACAGACAGACACACAACTCGACACTATTCACGTGACTGACAGCCCTGCTTTTAACCTCCGTTTACCAATCTATTTTTTGACAAGTGGAAGGGACGAGCCATCAGTCCAAGAGCCGAAATGTGAACCTTTCTCTGTCCCTTGACGAAAGTGTTGTACAGACTCGCACTCTGCAAACCTTTGTTTCTTTTATTTTTTGTTGTTGTTGTCGTCAGACAGCATGAAATAATGACACTTGCAAAGTGGCGCTGAAAAAGTAAATATTGAATTAACCATGAATAAAGGATTGTAAAATATTAATAAAAGAATTACTTTTCAGAAAAGTTTCAGGCTTCTGTTGTGGTTTGTGAACATATCAGATGTCTTGTAGTTTCAGTGTGACACATCCAGATGAGTGAAGTGAATGTGTAAAGAGCCTTATTGTCCAAAAGAACCGCAAACAACAAAGTACAAAAGTGGTTTAGTTTAGAATGAACTGTGATATTATTTGGTTGGATTCACAGCTGCAGATGGTGACAGTTGTCTTTAGTGCAGCAGTAAATATTCAGGGTGTTACAATCTGTTCTTTCCAGTTTGGCCTGATCAGAAGCTTCTCCATAAACGTCCACCACATGTGAAACGTCCTGGTCTCTCCACTGACCCCGTCGCTGTCGTTGCTCTCCTCCATGTTTATTGCCGATGCCGAATGATGACCTCAGGCCGTAAGTGCAGAGGAGGAGACATTAAAATGACCACAGGGATTCTGATCTGACCATTCTGACGGCGCTCGCACAGGCAGAGGTCGGAGATGAATCGCAGGTGACCCAGATCTGGTCTGAGAACATCTGGTTTGGTCTGTTCACACTGGGAGGGAATGCAACCAATATGGCTTTTGTTGCATGTCATTCATTAAATAGACATGGATCTTCTTCACACATGCAACTCTTCTTCCTCTCCACCGAACACCTTCACAGCCACCAACTGTGTTGTTGAAGGCCATCTCGGTGGTACAGTATCAACCTTTCCCTTCCCTGCCCTTGGGCTACCACCACCCCACTTATTCACACTCTTGCTGTTTTCATATTGGTACGCCTGAGCCATGCTTGTTTACTCCTTGTGTAAACTGTGGTGGGACATATGGAGATGTGCCACCATATGGCTGTGCTTTGCTGTTTGGCAGTGTGATGGCTGCAGACTCTCCTCTCACGTCCTTTTTTCTGGATGACTGGCTGGTATAAACGACACATGTTAACATGACGTAACCCAGGTCAGCACCTGCAGATGTTTTTGTACTGCTTTTGTGTAAATGTCTGAATGAATTGTCTGAATGTTTGAGAGAAAGTGTGGGGGTGCATGTAAAAATACTTGCCTACATGCAGTGACTTACTGTTGAACTGTCTGTGTTTGTGGGTGACAGAGTATGCAATCATATGTTAGTTAAATGGACAGTGATTTAGTGTTGCACGTTGATGCATTTGTGGTTAAAAACAGTCAAATAAAAGCTACAGACATCAAAATATTCTGGCTTTCCATTCCTGATATTTGACAGGCTCATGGATGTGTTAATGGATCTGGATCTGACACCACCACTGACAGGGACTGGCTGCTGACAAAGATGGTGGATTGTAACCAAGATTGCAGAAAGTTAGCTTTGGCCAGATGTTGGGGTAATGTTAACCGCTACTCCTATCCTTTATCCTTAACACCTAAGCCTGCTGAGGTTAACAACTTCTGGGCATCATCTATTTCCTGCCGAGGTTGGCAATCCGCCATCTTGTCTGCAGGCAGGTCCTTTTGCCTCTCCTGGTAATTTCAATGAAAATTCCAAGCTGTGGTACAAAAAACATTTTCCCATAGACCAAAACTGTTGACAGAAAACCTACAACTACAAACAGAGGCAGTTTTTGCTTTTCCTGTCATTTATTTTTAGTCCATGGAGGTTTCATGTTTGTAAAGCTTGGAGAGACTCGAGGGAACTGAGCTCAGTGTTTTTTAAATATTTTAAAGGCTTGCATGTTCCCTGATGTTCTACGATTGGCCGAGCCTCCTCAACAATAAATTCACCTTGTGGAGATCCAGGGTTTTCAGTGGACACAGTCTGGACCTTTACATATTGAACGTGTTGTGCATGTGCATGTGTATGGGTGACGCACTCTCTTCTGACCAGAGGACACTGACTCATCCCTGTCTGTTGGCTGTACTGAGGTCTGGCAGGTCCTCCACTGAGAGCAGTCCAACACACCCCCTCGCTCCTGGCCCGGAGGAAGTGATGCCAACACTGAAGAAGAGGAGAAAACAAGAAGAATGGGAGTAAAGATCTCATGTTTCTGTGTTTTCTAAAACCACATGAAAAACAGAATATTAAGGAATGTGTTCCAGTGTCTGTGTAAATGTGAGGAAGAAGACGTGATCAGTGCGCAAGATGAACTGCAGCTGCACCTTCTCTGATCCTGCTCTCTGTGTTCTGAAAGTCACAAGTCAAAACATTTCACATTTGGAGTGTGTCAACCTAAAAATGACACAAATGTTGAAAATATATTTATTTCACCTCTCATTTTTTCAGACCATTCCTCTCAGTGTGCCGACCTCGCAGCGTCAAGCTAAAGTAGCCTGGTGTTGTCCAGAGGCAACAAAGGAGCATTTGTATCACAAAATGGGCCCCCCTCATAAGAGCAGTTTTACATAAGGTACAAGACATCTACGACTTGAAAGAGTCCAAACATGACAGAGTTTTGTTACTTGCTCGCTCTTTGTGAGAGTTCTGCTCCTGTTTGTGGTCAGTTTGTGGGTCTGTGGTTGTCTCTTGTTATAGCCAGTTTACATCTCATTTGTAACGATTTGATCGACCTTCCAACAAATACTGGTGACAGTCACTACAAATAGAGGCTGCGTGCCCAGAAGGCTGTTCAGAAAACAATCCATGGTTGTCAAAATATGTAAAACTCCTTCAGCACCAAAACATATGCAGGATGGTTTCATTCAAATGGACGCCATCTTGACTTTGACCTACATTGTACCGTTTTTATGTTGATCTGTTCACACATCTTACAGCAGAGATGAGCGCTGGAGGTGGTGCTGATGGAGCAGACACTGGGAAATGCCCCAGGAGCATTTCCCAGCCCTGCTGCCAAACTGTGAGCTGCCTGAGGCTCTGCACAGCTGCTCACTATGAACGCCGCAGCTTCAGAAGTCCCTCAGCATCCTCTCCGAAAGATTTTCAGAGCAACTTTATCTTTTTGTGACAGTGTGATCAGTTGGACATGGGAGAGAAGTATAAGACGCAGCACAGGCTGAGCGTCAGTCTGCACCTCAGACCACTGAGGCTCCACGCCAGCTCGTGCTGTTATGCCTGCGTCTGATTGGAGTGTGACATGATAACAGCCTGCGGGGGAAATAAACTGTGGCTCCATCACACAGCATCACATCAGAGCAGACAAGCTGCCCCACAATCAGCAAACTGTATGACATAAGGACGGGACCAAACAAGACTCTTTTTTTGTGCCTTTATTTATTTTGGTGCCACCAGTAACAAAACCACCAAAATGTTTTTAAGCCTAAAAAGGATATTTTTATGTGATGAAAACCTCCCAGTGCTGGTTTTGTCATGGAGCTGCAAAGGCCTGTAAAACCTGCTCAGATGCTCTCTTTCTGAAATGAGTCATCCAGCATGTAAAAACAGACACCTGCGCAGAGGGGGCGAGGTTCACAAGTAAAGAACGTCATGAATCGACTGAGGACCTTGGTTGACAGTGATTTGTTTTGACTGTTTTGTGTGGCACAAGTCATTGTTCCCTATGCTGGAAAAATGTTTTAGCATTCAGACAAAAACTTCTGCAAGACTGACAGTTGATACCAGCACAAACCATTTGTAATTGTGCAAATATCAGTATGTCATTTATGTTTACAGCTTTTATGCCAAGAAAAATATAAAATAGAACATAAGCTTTTCATTTTTAGATTGGACACACTCTCTGATTTGCCTTTTAAACCTGCCACAGTAGGAGAAGCACAGGTGTAAATAACACATTTACTGATGGATGAGTGTTCGTGTTTGTTCCCTTGCACACTGTTGTTGCTTCCCGGGACACTTTAACGGAACAAAGCCATCATTAGCATTATTAGTAACAGGGAAGAATTTTGTACCAAACTCACTTTTTTACTGTGAAAGAAATACTAAACACCCATGAATATTCTGCAAAATTTGTGGTAATTTAGCATCTTTTTCTGGCCATTTGGCACCTCTTTGTGGTTCTTTTATGAATCTTTTACATCTTTTTGTGATCAACTTTCCAACAAATAATGTAAAAAGTCATGTTAAACAGAGGATGAGTGCCCGGTAGGGCCATGGTTGTCACATCCTGAGGTGTCTTTGCTGAGGGTTGTTTCTTTGATTTACTGACAAAAAGAAATGTAAAAATGATGATTTGTGATTTTAAGAGGAGTTATGTGCAGTTACTATGCAATCTGCAGTTTGGAGTAGTCTTGTTGCACCTTCAGGCAACCCGCACAGACACTGCACAGAAGAACGGTGGTTGTTAAATTTCTCTTTGTCTCTGAAGTCAACACACAAGATACAACATGGCAGTTAATGTGCTTTAGAGGTGTGTTGTTCAGCTCTGAACAGAGCCAGGTTAACTGTTCACCTTCCAGTCTTTATGCTAAGCTAAGCTAATGCCTCTTGGCTCTAGGTTGATCTAAATTTTGCCAAGACAGAATAAGTATGTTTCCTACAATGCTGATTATTCTTTCTGGTGCTAGATTCTCCTGCAAATGTCACAAAGTCCTGTTTGGGAGTGAGTGTGGTTCGGTGGGTAGAGCAGCCATCTCCTAACCAGTGGACACTGAACCCCCAGGTTGCCCCCAATGGTTAGAGCCATCGGTTGAGTTGGCGCCGCAAATGGCTGCCTTGGTTCTGTACCGGAAACAAATTCCTTGTGTTTAACATACTTGGTGTCTATCCTTATACTAAAGGTGATTATCCGTATCCTTAAAAACTTTAGTCAGTCATTTCAGAAAAACAACTTGGTGACTGGAATCCCTGTTACCTGAGTTTGTAACAGTTGTCCTACTCCAGCTTGTCACCCTGGTGGATGTACTGTAGGAGCACACAGCTGTGCACAGGATTACCACCTGCCAGCTTTATCAAGCTCTCTAGTAAGGTTCTGATACACCAGTGCAGATCACATCCACGTGTCTTCTTGCAGACAACTCCTCCCACACTCGCCGGCAGCCGCCGTGCTGAGTGCAGAAGGACTCTGGGGAAGGTGACTGATTTCCTGTCCAGAGCAGAGAGTGGGGGAGGTGGCAGTGACTGAGAGAGGCCAGAGAAAACAAATCAGGTGTCCACTCTGAACGCCACGCTGTCGACAACAGGGGACCTGAGTGTTTGACCTCCTTCATCTAATCAGAGCAGCGTCCCTCCTCCTCAGCTGTCGGCTGGACTGAATCCCCAGAGGATCATTAAAGGTTCATTTCTTCAAGAAGTACTCCACATCACACTGCCCCCTCTGAATAATTTCTGCTCGACCATATCTCCCTCCTCCACATGCTCTAATTTTGCTCTTGAAAAAAAATCTCTCTCTGTTGAGCTTTTTCATTCTCTCTTTCACTTTGTCTTTACAGTTTCATCTGCAGAAATATCAGCATCCAAACCTCAGTTCTCCACTGATGACGGTCCGAAAACCAAAGCTCACTCTGCTCTTGTAACTCTAACTTGGTAGTGAACAATCTGTTATCGATGACCTGCTTGGGGTTTGAGGTCCAGCTCAACAAACAAAACAAAACCTCAGTAAAAAACATAGGAATTAAGTTGTGCTAGTTAATGTTCATGTCAAGGAACAGATGTGAAAGGCTGGTGTGTTCATTATCTCTACGCGGCTTTTCAGGATGTTGCGGATATTTTTTAACTCTAAGCTGCAAGTTATTTTTACATATCGTTTTGACATTAATTGGTTCTACAGCAATAGAAACCTTCTAGATTCAGCAGTTAGTACTGCATTGCCTCAAAGACTCTTTATTAAAACCTCTTCAGACTTCAAGATCTTTGTATAAAGATATACATATATATTTCCTATACTCTTATTTTTATGCTTCTCATATTTTTTATTTATACTTTTTCCCCTTGTATTTTAGTCTTACGCTCTTATACATTTCTTTGCTTTGGGTGTTGTGATTTTGATAATCATTGCTGTTGCTACTGGATCCCTGAATGTCCTTCGGTATCTATCTATCTATCTATTTATCTATCTATCTATCTATCTATCTCTATCTATCTATCTATCTATCTATCTGTCTGTCTATCTGTCTATCTGTCTGTCTGTCTGTCTGTCTACCAAGCAACTTTAATAAGGACTCTGGTGTTTCCTATTGACATTGTGTTTCATGTAGCAGTACGTTTCATACGTGAATGTCGAGTGTGGTTGCCACCAGTGGTGCAGCGGTTAGCACTGTCGTCTCACAGCAACAATGTTCCAAGTTCAAACCCTGTGGTCGACCATGCAGAGTCTGTATGTTCCCCTCATGCATGAGTGGTTCTTTGTCATCCCTGTGATAGCGGTCTCCTGTCCACCCCTTGCCCAGTGTTGGCTGCAGGATCCGCAAAATAGATGATGGATATGCTTTGAGTTAACAATTTTGAGAAATGTTCTTCTGAGGATCACCAACCTGTGTTTACTATGAATCAAGTTATGATCTCTTCACAGCAGCTGTGTGGTTGTTAAACTGTCACAAACACACTCAGGGCTTTGGGACCTGCTCATCTGAATAGATTTAAGTCTTAGGTTTCCAGACTGACGACAGCTTTGTTTAATTTCCACTGATGATGAGATTCCTTGCGACCAGCGAATCATTAGTTATGTATGAATGCCATAAATGATCAACGATACAACTGAAAGCAATTCTGTCAAATGGTTTTTAACGTGTGTAATCAAAATCTCCTTTTCTGCGGCTTATAGTCTTTGTTTATGCAGAACACATACGTTTGTCTTTCCACAGGACTTTTAACCTGACCTTACCCATCACATCTAGGTTAACCTGACACTAGCCTGAACCCTAAAACCAGGTCTGAACCCCCAAACAGCTGTGTGCAGGTGCCAGGACCAGACGGCACATCCTCACACCACCACGCTCATATTTAATTCAGTGTGCTGCACACAATTGATCTCCAGCCATGCACTGATTGCACGTTTAGTGAAGGTATTGATTTCTGATACATACATCAAGCTCTGAAATGAAACTCACTGAAGACAAGCTAAACCCAAAGTGGTTCTGACTTTGCAGTGACATTGAGGATTTTTTAAACTCCTAATATTTCTTGAATTGTTTGTGAGCTGTAACATGTTTATAATATCAGAATACATATTAAAGCATGGCCATGGTTGAGTTTGGGTAGATGTGTGCCAGCTCCTCTGGCTGTTTCCACAGAGACCAGCATGTCACTCCTCCATCTGTGGTTCCTCCACAGTGTTTCTGCCGAACTCAGGGCAGCGCTGCTCTTTCCATCTCAAACCCATTTTTAAACCAATCAAGACAAAGAATTAAAGAAAAATGGCTGGAATTTTTAAATGAGAAGTCCTGGAGCACATTATATTTATATTATTAAACAGTAGGCTGATACATGAGCCAAAATGCCGTATAAAGGAAAAGCACTGAATAAAATTAAATTAATCTCGTGGGTAAAATATTAATGCCCTGTCACATTTTTGTCCACACCATTGTTGTGTCTGCCTTAATGTTTTGCCCAGTAAAAGCAGCCAAACTATGGTGTAGCTAATGCTGCTTCTGCAGGGTTAAGAGATGGAGCAGGTTTTGCATCACTACTATTCACTGCTGAGAAATATAAGCCAGAGCTCGAGGCTCAGCGCTGTAGAGATTTGCATGTTATATTTTCTCTCTTGTTGTTCAAATCGGCAGTGAGTGGTGGAGGCAGAAGGCCTGAGCTGCAGAGGCCGGGCCAAGAACAGGGAACAAGCCTCTGCTAATTTCCTGGCAAAAAAAATCATAATTAACACGTTAGATGTAGAGCCTGCGGTTGTCAAGGTAACTGATGACACCGCATTATCCCTCAGCACTTTTGCATCCTCCATCCTCGCTCTTTCCTCCCATTCATCAAGCAGCCATTGAGCGGCTCCAAGCAGGGAGGAAGGGGAGGGCAACCATAAACTCCTACTTATTCACGCACCTTCATTAGGCTGCTATTAATCTTGTAAACTCAATTACCACGGTAGATGATTATAGATTACAATGGGGAGCAGCGGGGCTGGGAGATTGTTGCATAAACCTAACTTTTATCTCTGTATTCTCTGTTTCCTTTTAAAGGCTCAGTTCACTCAAATGATAATAAACACGTTTTCTCGCTCAGTGTCCTTCGCCTCATCATACAGATATTTGTGGTTTTATGTGGCAATAGTTTTCATAGAAGCTACTTACTTAGCCCAACGTCTAAGGTAAATAGTGTTACACTGACAATATAACAGAATCCCTCATGCAGATAGGACATTATTTCTAGAAAATCATGTTTTTACAGTATTGTGTGTTACTACAGACAAGATTTATTTTATTTTCATTGTGCTCTAGGGGATGCAGAAATCTCTAAAATGGATATTCTAACACTCGGACATCAAAAACCAAAGCGATCCTGGTGACTGACGTGCTGCTATACAAGCTACTGGACCACTGAATGCTAACAAATTCTCATTATGTATTAATGTTATTTAACAACTTCACCTAATGATAATAGCAGGATTATTAGCAGGAGCCTACCAGAGGTCCAGGACCCCTGGGGCCCTTAGAATTCAACTGCCAAAATGAGAGACAAAAACCAGCCACAGAGACCACAAACACCCACATAAAGATACAAAGTCGTAAAGAGACGCAAAAATACAAAGATGTGACATAAATACGGATGCAAAACAATTATAATGGGATCCAAAATGATGCAGCTTTGTCTTTTTGCATTTCTCAGTGTGGGTGTCATGCTCCAAGGGATGTGGCTTTTCACGTCCAGGGGCCTAGTGTGTTGTTCACACCACAGTTAAACAGAACAGGACAAGCTATGTTGAAGGTGGGATCTACTGAAGGTAAATTAAAAATAGCTTTCATAAAGATTTAAGACACCACAAACAGCCACAGCAAATGAAATCAGGCTAGCTAGCTAAACAACCACCTAATAGCTCCTTAGCTAAGGGGGATGACTAATAACTTGGGTTGGGGTTGTTAATACTGATCTACATTAACCATCAGCTCATTAATATTGATATTACTGTAACAGTAAGCGATCACAGGTGCGCACTTGTCGAAATTTACCAGCGGTAATCAGCCAATCAGGTCTGACCATGAGAACCATCTGTTCCAGGATTGGTCGATCATTTCCAGTACTTGAGGAACGCAAACGTGGGCCAGTGCCATGTTGTCCAATCAATGATTTGGCCACGGAGCACAACGGACCTCAGTGAGCACCGCGTCTGTCAGGGAGCAGCATCTATGCTGCGCAGGGACCGTTTGCGCACCATCGGGGGAGCGCTCACACCTTCACCGCAACGATCAAACCGAAATAACGTGACTAGACTGACTAGGAGATCATTTGTAAACGCCTGCTCTCACAGATTTTCTACGCTTTCTTTGTGTTGTTTTTATAACGAGAGGCTACTCTGCGGCGAATCAATTTCCTTTCAAACCCGGGGATTACAATGAAAAATGTAGGTGACACATTTTCTTTTACAATCCAGGAATCGCAATAGAATCCAAGCGAAGACTGCAAAGAACAAAGCAGGTAAATAAATAAATAAATCTTTCTGTGCACAGCTCGTTTAGGAGGCGTAATCATTGTGAACTGAAGTGGCACATCATGTTTTAACAATGCGTAACTTCAAACCTAGTTACATTTGGCTACACTGGATCTGTGTCGTAGTTTGCATCATAACATCCTCAGTCGACACCGGGCTTGTTGTTGTTTTTCCTGAATGATGACATGAAACTTAAGGGCGTCAGTGATTTTCACTGCCGGGGCACATGTGTGGCACTGCGGTGTTTAAGTCTCCATTTATTTACTGAGGCTAAAAACCTGTCTTCACCTCATAATATTTCAATTCAAACGAGGCACTGTTTTCTGCTCCTTCTCTTCAAAGGGGAAATGGTGACGGGTGCCGCATCTGTAGGATCAGCATCCTCTCTGTGGAGCCCCTGCGTAAAAGACAAAACAGGTAATTTGCTGCTTTGATCTTATCTGGGTTGTGGTGCTGCAGCGCGCAAGACAGGCGAACACGTTTTATCATGTCTGCTGCCATGCACACTAACATGCACAGAGTACAGTGACGCCTCAGCATAATGCAATCAAACCCTCCCATTTTGTGTCTCACTGATGCCCTGAAAGCAGCAACAGCATCACGCGTACACCCAGCACACAAACAAAAAGGGGAATAATGGTGTGTTTACATGTGTGTGTGTGTGTGCTGCTGCACAATAAAGAGATCACACACAGGAGTGCCATGGCTGACTCCACTGTGAGCATAACTGCCTCTTGAATGCTAATGCAGCAACACTGCAAACGGGCTGCTGCCCTCTGCGCTGCTGCCTCATGAGCTCACAGGTGCTACTGTACCTAGCCGAAGCAAACTTACTGTGTGAATTTGTGCGCCTGCTTGCACGAGTGTGGGTGTCTGTGTAGGTGAGTTTGTGGATGATATCACCTTGCATATGGTTGCAGGGCCATGTGTGGTTGAGAATGTGTTTTAACCAGGGTTTTTCGAGCTGCACACCTACACCTGCCTCACTGGGGTACTGAAGCCAGGGTACACTAGAGAGGTGCTTGCCATCCTGCATAACTGACACACTCATAGACTCGACCTTTTTGGCCACATAACATTTTTGGTGTGAAGCCTCAGCTGCAGCAACTGATTGATTGAAACTGTGGCCTCTGAAAGCATCTTGCTTAAAACAAGAGCCTTTGCCAATGCACCATGCACTAATCTGTTTTTTGCTCCATCTATTTGCATAAGCCTCACAGATAATTTTCTAGCAGGGAAGTAGGGCTGCAGTGAATGATTAGTTTCTCTGTCTCATCAAATATTTATTCAGTTGTTTTATCATTAATAGAGAAAACTGGCCACCATAGTTTCCCAGATCATAAGGTGAAGTCTTCAGGTTGTTTGTTTGGCCCAGTTAAGTCCAAAGAAGAGACATTTACCACATTATTTAATGAATTGATCATTGAAAACAGTAGGCTATTAATTGGCTTTTGATTGATAATCAGTTGACCGATTAACCTTTGTGGGAGAATAAAAATGACCTTGTTGCCCCAGTGCAATTAACTATAAATATAACCATTGTAAATGTCGGTCTGAACGCTCTTCTGCTGTAATGTATATGCACATATATTTATAAATGCTGCCTCTTTTCCTCTAACCTTTCCTGTTTATGATTGCACACACATCCTGTTTGAAGGCGCTTTGTTTATTTTTATTGTCTTCTCTTTCCTGTTACTTTACAAGTTCTTCGGAGTCCCAGAGCGGGGGCTTCTTCTGAGAGCCGCTCTTTTTACACCACCTTTTAACGTGAGCATGAGGGTAAAGGTCTCAGCAGATTAGAAAAAGAACATGCACTCTGTGCACCCACAGGAGCCTCCACAGACCAGACTGCAGCCACGCCATGCTCCAGGAACATGGCTGACAGTATAGACGCAGAGAAGCCTACAGCTGAGTGATCACACTCCGGAGCGCTTTGCATGCCTATGTACACCTACCTGTGAGTGAAATCAACAAGTTGATGCCCACTCTCTGAAAGGCATTCTGGGAAACGTAGGAGTCACTGCCCAAACTGGAAGCAGACGTGAAAGCGGGCACAGCAAAAGCATTGCACATCACACATGGATGATGTAACATCATCGGCTGCTCAGAGGGGTTGTGGAGTATCTGGGTGATGTTTGCCCTGGTGGCAGAGTTTAATGTCTGTGAAGAGAGTGGAGGAGTTGCTGCTCCTTGTAGCTCGATGGCTGACTATAGCTCACATATATCTGCGTATGGTTGCTAGGCCCTCTGTGCTCCTTCCTGATGTGGGGGAGGTGGGCTGTCTGCAGCTTCACCATCCATCATGGTTGCTTTATGAGTCAGTAGTGTTGGTCAAGCTGTCCCTGAGAGAAGCCACTGGAATCAGCTTCGTATGTAGACACATGAACCTGAGTGTACCCTCGGGTGTTGGGGGATTTTACCAGCGTCTTGTGGAGACTCTCGGTTGTTCACATCATCACTGGGGCTGTGGGTACAAATGGCTGATGTGCTGTCGGCACACAACAACCTTCAGCTGTGTGTTGGTAGTGTACAGTGATTCCTCCACTTCAGTGTTATGCCTGGTTGTGTTACTGAAGATTTGTTAGTCAAAACAAATGACTGATTAATTCCAAAATATAAAAAAGATGACTGAGTCATAGGCTACACTTTAATCATCTGTCGCTGCCAAACTCCAGAGAG